TGTCATTGTGAGTCCGAGTAAATCAATCCGTCGCCGTTCTCAACAGTTTGGCATTGGGATAAGCTCTTTGCAACGAATTCTTAAGAATGATTTACACTTACATGCATATAAGATACAGTTGACCCAGGAGCTTAAGCCGGCGGACCATACTAAACGAAGAGAATTCGTTAATTGGATTTTAACGAATCAACGTCCTATTGATTTTGTGAAAAAAATCATCTTTAGTGACGAGGCACATTTCCACTTAAGTGGATATGTCAATAAACAAAACTGTCGAATTTGGGGAAATGAGAACCCAAGGGCAAGCATGGAAAAACAAATGCATCCACAGCGAGTAACCGTTTGGTGTGGCTTTTGGACAAGTGGAGTGATCGGCCCATACTTTTTTGAAGATGAACGTGGAAATGCAGAAACAGTTAATGGAGATCGTTATCGAAATATGATTTCAAATTTTCTTTGGCCTATTCTGGATGACATGGACACAGAAGAAATGTGGTTCCAGCAAGACGGTGCTACCTGTCACACTTCTGGGACCACAATTGCATTGATTCGTGAAAAATTTGACGGCCGACTCATTTCCATTCGTGGCGATCAGCAGTGACCACCAAGGTCATGTTGATTTAACTCCATGTGACTTCTTCCTTTGGGGCTATATTAAATCACTCGTTTATGCAAACAAACCGCGAACTTTATTCGATCTTAAGCAAGAAATTAAACGAGTTATCAGTGAACTCGATGGACAAGTCTGTGAAAACGTAATTTGTAATTTCATGGACAGAGTCACTGCGTGTCGAGCGAGTAGAGGGGGTCATATGCACGATATTGTATTTTACACTTTAACCTCAAGTCATAGTGAAGTAATATATACCATTAATTATGTATTTATTATAAAATAAAATTGATTTATAGCAAAATTAAAAACTGCGTTCTTTATGAAACACCCGTTACAAGCGATGATTGGCAAAAAGGTTCCAATATAAGGTAATTATACGAAATTACCTCTGCGACAGGAAGATAATACACGGTGAAGAGCTGGAAGCAGTAAAGCTATCCAATGAGGTACCTCAGGGGTCTGTGCTTGGCCCCTACTATAGGACATCATATATCACAGCTTGCTTACCATAAAAATGCCATAAGATGTTATCCCCTGATCGGCTTCGTAGACGGCGTAGCAATTTTTGGAAGAGCATGGAGAGTCAAAAAATTGGAAAATCTTGTCAACGAACCCCTTGGGATTGTACTCGAATGAATGAATGCTTACCAGTTGAAACTACCCTTCAGAAGACGAAAGCTGTCATGCTGACAAAAAAAAAAAGACAATCGGAGGCCAACGTTCGTGGTAGGAGGCTAACAAATAACAAGCAAGAATTCTTTCAGGTATTTAGGTGTAGAAATAGATATAAGACAGAGATTTAGAGTGCACGAACAGTCAGGGCTAAAGTATGAAACCTGCGAGGCTTCGTCTAGGATTCTGTTCAATGTTGGATCATCAACAGCTAATAGTAGACTATCAAAGAGTGTTGTCCATATCCTACTGTTGTATACTGCACCAACATAGGAATCATTACTGGATCGCAGAGCAGACGGCAATAACACGATTAAAAGAGACGCTGTGAATTGACCACGTATAAGTATCTAGTTGATATTATATTTTAGAAGATAATATTAAAGCAAATTCAACTTGAGCTGTTTTATCAGGATAATCGGTTTTAAAAATTTTAGAATCTAAGAAGAAAAGTTTCATAATTGGTTTGAAGTGGGTTTTTGATAAAAGTGCTATGTCTATTTGTTTTGAAAATAATAAATGTAGTAGTTAAAATTCATGTTGTTTTCACCTGGAATATTGTCCGTAATATTTTTCTTAGATGAATAACTCACCTCGGTGAGATCTTCACTTTTGTCCGAAATGTTTTCAATCCAACTCGATTTTTCCAATTTTTTGTCTGGATGGTTCTTCCATCTAATATGAACCTGGAGTTGTCCTGGACAGGTGGGAGGTTTTGGCTGTTCCGGTAGGTATTGCTATCTCCAGTGTCGCAGCCTCGGTTACGAACGGTTTTGCTGCCTCCTGAGTCTGTGGACCTGGTGTTGGGGAAGGGCTGAGTGATGCCGGAGTTTCCAAGCAGTATTGTTGTGAGCGGGGTTGGGGGTAGTTTGATAAGTTGTTCTTTTCTTCTCCCGGTGCTCCCGTAGCCGCTGCTGGTTCCGGCGTTCTTTGGCATTCAGCTGGGCTGCTGTTGACGTCGGTGGTGGTGGAGCTGGTGCCTGCCGCTGTCGGCATCTCCTTTATCGGCGGTCCTGTTGGTGCTGCCATGGTCGTTGTCTGTCCCGTTCTTTACACCAATTTGCATTAGCCCCACTCGTGGTCACGAACTGTAGTTCCTCTATCGGAACATCGCTTTCAATGAGTTTTCTCAGGTGGTTAACGGCGTTTTTCCAAAGGCTCGACGGTTTTTACCCGAAAACTCCTCACTTTGGACGTCCACCGAAGTTTTCTTCCGGAGGATTCCTGCTCTTACCGGCTTTCTCCGGTTTATAACTCCTTTGGTCCAATTCTTCGGACCCTTTTCCAAGTCTCCAGTCCATAAAACTCCAAGGTTCTTTTTCTCCGAATATAGTCCGAAGTTAACCATTGAAATTATAACATCGTTTTTCTATGAAAATTTGTAAGTGTTCAAAGTTGGCCTATTTTGCAGTTAACTCCGGACAATCTTGAACTTTATATAAAAGCTCAAATATGACAATAATAAATTTTAGAAACTTTTCAACATTTTCTTACATGCATTGGCTTAACTGGAGATTTTTTATAGAATTCTAAATTAAGGATTTTCAGAAATATTCGAAAAAAATAGTAAATTCTGTCCGGAGTTACCCCATTTTACGGTACTTCTTAAATTTTATTTCTTAAAATTATTTTCTTATTAAAAAAACACTTGTCAATTCTACAAACTAAAAATTGTTATAATTTTTATTATTTATTCAAATATGTTTTTTAAGACCATACTTTTATTTTAGTTACTTAAATTTATATATGACTTTTAATAATCACTAGTCAATTTAGAAACCCAAAAATTGTTATTATTTAGATATATAATTTTTTTTTATTTGAATTATATTTTTTGAATTTTTTTTCTCCATCAATTCTTAACTCAAAAATAGAAACAAACTTAATAAGTTTATGTGTCTCATTTTTGTTCAAATTATAGATATATAGTTTATTATACATTATAAACTAGACACTAGTAATTAATAATACTAAATCATAACTTTTTTTTAGTGACTTTAATAATGAAAAATAATAAAAATGAAACAGTCCTCTGCACATTTTTAAAGAAAAAATATCGTTTAAAAAAAAAAAAATGAGTTTTAAGAAATGGGGATTTTTGCTATTGCGCTATTATTTCTATATTATAGAAGGTATAAAAGTGTTGCCTACTCAAAAATGTTATGCCAAAACTGCCACGGGTAGATAGTACATTATAAGTAGAGCGCGGATTTCTATGCAATTGCTTATTTTTTCCCCTTTTACTATTTTGGATTTTTGTCAGTTATCTTGAAGAATCATGACAATTTGAATCTAATTGTGATTTTTTTTTTTTTGCATATTTCTGCATATTTTTATTATTTTTACTACATATTATTATATGGCATATTTTGATATTTTATAATGCATACAAATCCATACTTTAATAAATTATAGGTATTACTGTATTAGTGACTTATGTTTATTAAAAAGATAAGCTTGTACATAATTTATAATATTATATAAAACAATAATATACCTAATATCTAAGTCATAAACATATATATATATATATTGGATAACAGAATGTTAAATAACTAAAATACTAATTATTTAATATATTTATAAAATATATAATACTAAATTATTATTACATATTTATCTGTATTACTTAAAAAAAATCTTTTACTTACATAGTATGTTACATATATATTATTTATTTTGTACTCAGTAATATAAATACATAACTTAATAATTGTTATGTATTTACATCTAAATACCTTTTTCAGTCTTCAACCTCACCTAATACAAAGGTATTAAATATTATACATGAAACTAGTAGGGGTGGTAGCCAAGGACATATGTAATATGATGGTGCAAATTTCAAGTCGATTATACAATTATTTAGTTTTTAATTATTTATTAATGAAAAGTAAACAGTTATGGTAAACCTCCACATATTTGCCAAGTGCTTAAAAATTTAGCTGCAGGGTTATTTAAACAATTTGTTATTTTCACTCATCTTTGTACAGAAAAAATTTGGTATCATACAATGTTCATAAATTATTATATTTTCTAGATTTTTTAAAATACATGGACCACTTTAGTTGTTTCAAATATGAAAACTATTTACAAGAAATTAAAAATCCAGAAAAAAATGAAAAATACTCCCTTCAAGAAATAAGTAATAAAATTAAAGGGAAACAAAATATTTTTATAGCTACACCCTTTCGGTACTGGCGGGACGTTTAAGTCCCGGACACTTTGAATATCAATAGAAAATATATTATTCTATAAATTGGTATGTTATGGCCTGATGGGATATCTTAGTCCCGTTTAAAAACGAAAAAAAATATAAACATACATATATATTGGTATAAAATATTATTATTAGCTCATAATAGCTAGCTTATCTTCTCGAAACCTTATGTATCAAATCATGATATTGTTTTCGTTATTGTTATGACTGTTGCTAAAAATAACTGTTACATATTATTCCAAATCATTATAGTACTTCTAAAAAGTGTTATCGAATTTTGTTTGTGTCAATATTATCAATATTTACGAAAATAATCAACATTTTTGTCGTGGGACTCATATATCCCGTTAGTATTCCTCAGTCGTAAAACAATCGTTCGTGTGTCTGTAATAAAATATATAACATAATCTTACGTACGCACGTCTCGTATATAATTTATATATTATCATCGTCAATTTTTATCATAAAACAATTTCTTTTAAATTATTTTTTTTAAAAATGAGTGCATGTAAAAAAGATCAAGATATCGAAGAATGGTTATTAATGGATGTTCCGGATGATCCAGAATCTGAGGACGAATACGATATAGATGATGGCGATACCGATGAGCAAGCTCAACAAGAGGTAATTGAACTTGGTAATTTTTTTTTGCAAAATGAATGTGAAACCGTTGAAAATAACAAAGAACCATTAATTACTGATAATTCGGGTGTAATTATTTTTGATTTTCCGGAATTTGACTTTTGCCATCAAACCGAAGACGCAAGTCTAAACATCACTAATACACCAAGCTCTTCTAGAACTTTGAGACCAAGAGTATCAAATTCAACTAATTTGTCCAATACACCTATTTCTGATCATGTTGCACCTGATAATACACAAACACTAGAACATATCGATAATAACACTTTAGAACTTGCTGCTAATACCACTCCAGATCCTGTTAGGCAATGGCGTAAAAAAAATGAAATTACAGCACTTTTACCAGATTTTGAAAAAAATTTAGGTTACAATCAAGTGATGTTTGGTGATTGTAAAACAGCAACGGATATTTTTTTTAAACTTATTAATCCTATCATAGAAAACATTTTGAACCAAAGTAATCTATACGCAACTCAAAAAAATAAAAATCTCAATCTAAAAAAAAATGAACTACTCTCTTTTTTTGGAATTAATTTTTGTATGGGGTATCATAAACTACCTTCATATAAAAATTATTGGAATGGGTCTAAAGATTTAAATGTGCCAGCTATTTCTGAAGTTATGACGAGAGATCGATTTGTAGAAATACTATCTAATATTCACGTCAATAATAATGACAATATTTCTAATAACAATAAAGACAAATTGTTCAAATTACGTCCTATGATAGATAGTTTGAATCAAATTTTTTTGGAGTCTTCATCTGGAACTCGTGAACTTAGTGTTGATGAGTCTATGATTAAATTCAAGGGTCGCAGTACGTTAAAACAATATAACCCAATGAAACCCATAAAAAGGGGTTACAAATTGTGGTGTATTGCAGACCAAAATGGATATATTATGAAATTTTCGGTGTACCAAGGAAAAAATGAAACGTTAGAAAAGCAGTTCGAGAACACTAATTTGGGAGAAAGAATTGTATTGCAGTTAACAAAACCATTTTGGAATGAAACTAGACTTATATTTTTCGATAACTATTTTACAACTATTCCACTCCTAGAAAAGTTAAGAACGCAACAAACATTAGCTTGTGGTACAATTCGACAAAATCGTAAAGGGATGCCACAAAATTTCAAAAAAGATTCTGAAATACATAGAGGAGAATTTGACTACCGATTTTCTACTTCAGGTATTGGAATCTTCAAATGGAAAGATAACAAAGTGGTACATATAGCATAAAACTATCATGGTAATGAGAAAACATCTGTTGATAGGACTATGAAAGATGGCTCTAGATTGAGCATATCGTGCCCAAATCCAATCAAAGACTACAATAAATATATGGGTGGAGTTGATCACGCAGACAGATTGAGAGCATTATATAACGTTGACCGTAAATCCAAAAAGTGGTGGCTTAGGATTTTTTGGGGACTGTTAGACATAACGTTAGTAAATGCATATGTCATTTATTGCGAAATGTTTGAAAAAACTGATGTATTTGATTTCCGTCGATCAGTTGCCCTTGGTTTGATGACAGCTCGAAATACACCATCAAGAAAGTCTATAAGTCAGAAAAGATCAACTCCACAAACGCCATCAAATCGAAGAAAGAAAACTTTAACGAATTCCAAAGACGTCAGATTAGGCAACAGGTATTATAAAAATATTTCATAATTACATTATAATATTATAATACATATTTGTTTTTATTTTATCTACAGAGGTATTCATTGGCCACGGTTTGGTATAAAGAGAGGTAGATGTGAACTTTGCAGTGTTCGAGGAGTAGAGTCCCGGCCACTTTCTTCGTGTAACCACTGCCGAGTATTTCTGTGTTGCAATGAAAGGAAAAATTGTTTTGTAGAATACCATCAAGTTGATATCGAATAATTTTTAAATTTATTTACAAAACTTTTAATTATTTTACTACAGTTGTATTATTTATATATATATATATAATAACAAAGTTAAAATTGACAACGAGTCCATTAATTTTTAATACCTAAATAAAAATATATTATCAGAAAGAGATTTCTTGTATTTTTTATTGTTAATAATTATTTAGTATTAATTTTTATTGTAATACATACAACCCTGACGGGACTTTAAAGTCCCAGACAAAAAAGTGATTGAAGGGCTTAAAAAAAAAATTTGAAAAAAATCAGAGATCTTATTGAAATGATTTTAGAAGATCCTGCCAAAAAAAAATTTAACTTTTTTTATTATTTCTTATGACAGTACAGGGTTAAAACCATTTCAATTAAAAACAGTCTAAGAATTAGAAAATAGAATACCTTCAATGATAACACATTAATTGATAAAATTTTTAAAGAATTATTTAAAACAATTCGAATATTTATGTAAATATTTCAAATGAGAGTGGCTGGTATATTATGTTAAAAATAATTCATAATGTCAAACAAAGCAAACTAGATCAAAATTGAGAAATAAAATATAAAAATAGTACAAATATTTAAACTTATCACCTTTTTTTATGAGATCAATTGATTCTAGTATATTATATTTATATTGTATATATTATTATTTGATGAAATCAAATAATTTTGAAATTCATATTTATGATATAAAATATAAATGTGTTTTATTTGAATTACAGGTAACAAAGCTATTGTAACAACTTTCATGTCATACATTATCCATGAATAAGTGCATTGATTAATCACTATATTACCTATTATTTTGTGTTTAATATTTTATATTATATTTATTATTATTGTATAAAATAATTATTAATAAACCATTACCTCACAGCAGCCAAACGCATGCACTGTCATTTCCTAATTTCTTAACAAACAGCTATTCGCAGATGTTCCGGACGCGGTTGACGAGGCTTGCCGCAGGTCAATAAGTTACTATAAGTTCACAAGAATTCACGACTGAAGGTACAACATACAAAAGATGTGCGATTATTAAAGAAATAAATGGATTCATAACAATTCGTTACAATGCATTAAAAAAGCTGCGTCAGTCTTTTTCGCCGTCGGTACAGTGATCGAGGCGGATTCGTTAACTGTGCCAATACTGCTCACCTCAGATCAAAAATACCGAGACAGTACGGTAAATCGAAGCTGGCTAGCTTGACTGGGCGGCAAAGATAGATTCAAAAACCGGAGTTTTATGTTATTGAAACATGGGTTAAAAATAAATTTAAAGATTTTAATTTCTTTTCTGTACCTGTACCATGCATACAATGCGGAATGATAAACATAATATATGCAATGTTATTTTAAACCTTAATATAACGCCAAAAAAAAGTTAAATAGTCGCATTATAACAAGTATGCGATATTAATTTTCAACGTGAATTAAGCTTATTCTTATAACATTGAAGTCTGTGACTGTGTAATAGCAATATGACATTAAATAGGTACACACATTGTGTAAGTTTTCTTTTTACGTAGTAAAGATATTTTCATAGAATATTTATTCAATGTCAATGATACTATTAGGTAAACGGTATCTGTTTATTAGCAGTTACGGCGAATATAATTTGTATAAGTATTCAACACATTTTGTAATGTTACATAGGTCTAACCACAGCGTAACATTCGTAATTTTTTGAAATAATTTATTTGAAGCTTGCAGCCCTAATATAATTTTTGGTAATAAAAAAAAAAAAAAAAAATGATTATAGTAATTTTTTTTTTTTTAAACATATTTTATAGTTAACAAAATCTAAAAGTCGGAGCACTTTTTTATAGTATTTTAATGAATTATATATTATGCAACAAAATGACAAAACATTTTAAACGAATGCAACGAGGAAGCATCGGCAATTCTAGTGTAACGAGACAAAAATAGGTTATGTGAAGGTTGTAATCGTAAGAAATGCACATATTATATTATGGCCAAAATGCAAGGCTTCCGCAAAAATTCACTTCAAACAGTACTTTTTTTATTTTTAAATGTACAACTTGGAACATTTATGTGTTTGTAATTATATTATTTTAATATAAATGCTAAACCTCATGGTTATAATAAAACATTTTTAAGACCAAACTTTCTTCGAAAGTATGTATCAAAACGTAGACGTATTTCAAGAAATAAACAATCTCCAAGAGGAGACATTTTTAATTTATTTTCCATTTGTACAGATTATATTACAATATAGCCTACACATTTAATAATTTTTTTTTTTGGTTGACACCACATAATCAAATTATTAAGGCTTTAATCTTTCTTTTGTCAATCACAATGAACAGTACCAAAGATGAGTACCTCAGTTGTATAACAATATTAACTAATGTAACTAGTTCCAAACAAATAATCACATTAATGCTGTTAATGACGCTCGTTTGCTTTAAGGTTATATTGAGAGCGGAAAATACATTTATTGCAAATAATTGACTATTTATATAGCAATACACCATGCTCAAAATACAAACAACTGTAAACAATATTAATCAACAACAATTAATAAATATCGAGTTTTCAGCGGCGTCCAAAATAGATCGACGCAACATTTAAGCAACGGCCCGTTTTTATTTTGTTTATCGTACGGAAATTCCAACACGACATAATTAGTCAACGTCAGCGTACGACCAGCGTATATTTATATATACGTCAATACGTATTTTACGACAATAGCCACTCTGCATGTACAAAAATATCGTCAAGTAGCAATATCACCGAGGATATTGATGCAAAATATAAATATTCATTACACCAGAAACATATCTATTTCTAATATTCGTGAAAGACGAATATGATGACGAGTGCTCAATAATAATGCACATTATTACAATGGCATTTTGCTCATCGACGACGACGGCGTATTTAATTTTTTTTTTTTATATTATTTTGTCATATTTGAGACGAACACTGTTTCGACGTTTTTGACTGAATACAATTATCACCGAACTGCAAAGTTTAAAAGCACAAACTGACTACGCGGTTTCAGCCGAGGAACGCGACACCACTTCTCTCGGTCTAAGGAAGATGTAAAATGTCAACCGCGACCGCCGACGATCCGTAAAATGCGAACGAAACAATACAGCGACCATTGACGACACTAGCGCTGCGACATGTACGTGGACAAAAACCGATATTTTTCGATATTTTAAAACGACTACGGAATTTTATTTATTCATGTTTTGCTCATCTCGCCTGTTTTTGTATAAAAATGTTTTTATAAATAATATCAAGTATTATGACAGTTGAGTTTATTAGGTACATATTTATATTAAGTTTACAGATCTATTTAAATAAAATGTGCAGCTATTATTGTATTTTGACATCGTATTATAGTCATCCACAGTATCCTCTTCTTTCATAATCTTCATATTACCTTGAGTTGATGGCGCTGTTTGTATTTAATCAAGTAATTCAAGTAAATCATAAACTAAAGCAATGTTGTGTAAAACACGATGTGGTCGCATAAAATAAACAATTTTTAGTATTTTTAAACTTTAAGATTTAAGTGATGTAACTGTTTAAATTTTGTTTCAAAATTTCAAAGCAGTGTTCAATTCAATATCTGTTTTGACTCAACTTTAAATTATATTTAATTTAATTCTTTGTTAACTATCCTCGGTCCTAGAATGGAGTCATCAATTTGTTTTTTATAATGAATATCTGCTGTCACCGTTCAAAAAATATAAACCAAATTTTGTTTGCAAAAGTGGTACATTTCTAAATACCTTACTAACGTGTTTGGACCAGAGAAACCGGTAAAGAAGTATGATTTTGAGTTTGTCATCACATATTACCTGCATCAAAAAAAATATTGTATTAATTATAAATATTTTTCATAAGGTGAATTAAACAATCGCGTAAATACATACATGTATTGAATTGTATCCTTTTTTATTGATGTATAATATGGGTGATTATCGGTTTTATCTAAATATGGCAACTATCCATATCTCCTATGGCCACTGGAAAACCATTTTCTCTAAATGCCATTAATAATTGCTCATTATTAGACCATTTGCTAATATAGAGTGAAAAGTTGCTTGTAAAGTACGTTAGCCGTTCAATTATTCTACGCTGAAAGTAATATTAAAAAAAAAAGCAGTGCAACGTCTCTGAAGCTTGCAGTTTGGTGCCCAATAAACCACAAAAAAATAATGACCTAAAATGGTTTAGTGTAAATGATTAATATTATATAAAATGACAATTTACAAAATGTAATAATTGCTGTATTAATATTACACTTGAATTTCAAATGCATACAAATAAGTTAAGCTAATGTTAAAACCGTGAACAAAAGTATAACTTGATTTGTTTATTGAAATTTCTATAAAATAATAATTTTAAACACAAACCTAGTCAGCTACAATTATTTGATCAAATTACTAATTAGTCATATTTGTTCTTTTAAAATAAATACTATACTTATACAAATCAGTAATTATAGTTAAAATGTGACGGCTAATCCAGAAATATACAAAATATGTTTCATTGTTATAGATACCTATTCTAAACAAAAAGAAAAAATTTAATTACTAATAAAAGATGCTCAGCAAGCCTGTTGGCATTTACTCTCCTAAAAAATGTTCGTTTCTTATTTGATGGATATTAATTATTTCTAATTCATCGTCAGAGGAAGAACTAGACATGAGATAGTCATCCGAATCTTAAATATTGCTCATTTATATTAATGAGAAACTTATTAAACTTGGTATCTGCTATGTTTTGTACATTGAATAATATGCTATCACCGATGGTAATTTATTATAGTTTTGTAAACTATAGAAATAATTGTAAGCATTGAAAAGAAATTAAAGTGCTTTTTTGAAACACTATTATTACTTCAAAATAAATTCCACATTCCTAGCAAAATAGATTGGATGTATATTCATGTTAAAATGTTCATCAATCATTTTAAGCAAAATTTTTCCTTTCATTTCATGTCATAGGGAAATATGA